CCCCAAAACCCCAAAACCCCAAAACCCCAAAACCCCTTATTTGCTTCCATCTTTTGAAAATATATAAATAACAATTTTATTTTTGTAAATGATGGCTTTTGAGATGCTTCTAATTAAAAATCTTGATAGTTCCATCAGCAGTACCCACTACATAATTATTGTTAGTCTTGGCAAATGCGCATCAAAGAATGCTGTTGTCAAATCCTGATTGTTTTCCAAACAGAGAGTAACTGGAAACATCTTCCTCTTTGTCAAGGTCAAAGTATTTGATTTCTTCTCCTTTCCCACCTGCGATAATTACTTCTCCATTATGAGTGAATGCAGCACAGTTAAGGAATGAGTTTTCGCTGGCTTCACCAGAATAGTCCCATTCAATATTAGAAATTAGGTCTTTCTTCCTAAGGTCCCATATTTGAAGAGGATTCCGACCTCTATAGCTTCCTGTGGCAATTGTATTATCGTAGATATCTATGGAATTGCTTGATAGGTCAGGACCGAATATGTATCCTACTGGCCCTCCTCTCCTAATATCATGAATTTGGAGTGTCTTGTCCCACCCACCAGTGATTACAACATTGGGGTCATCTCTTTTATAAGTCATTGCAAAGATTCTTTGAGCATGTCCTGGCTCTTTGGAATCAACGGGGATCATTTTTAAGAGACATTCTTTGGTCTCAGCATCGTAGACTCTGACTCGATAATCCTTTCCACCAGTGCAGAACTTTTCGTTATAAGGATCAACGTCTAATACAAAAGTCTGGTTGTTTTCCTCTGTGACTGATGAAACGAGTTTGCCAACTGGTCAGGAATATTCATTAACTACTCCATCAGAGAATGCTCAGATAATTGCATTGTTAAGCCACTTTACACACATTGCTCTAGCTACATCATTTGAGTCAGATGGAACATAGGATATTGATTGGGCTAATTTATTGTTGACAAGGTTATATATTCATATAGTAGCATCTCCTAGAGCTACAGCTAAATATTTGTCATCAAACCCAAATTCAGCTGAAAATACTTCCTTCACCTTCTCCTCAGAACCCACTTGAAAAGTGGTCTTCGCACTATACTTTTTCGGGATCAACTTGGTCGCCATCATCTCTACAAAAATCCATAAGGCCTAAAATCCAACTCCAAACTCTGAAAATTCATCAAAACCCTTCTAACTCTCCATCTAACTCTCTTTTTCTTTAAAATCCTTACCTAATTTCTCATTTAACTCCAAAGCCTTTCTTTCTTCTTCATCAATCTCCGGTTCTTCCCCTTCTTTTTCCTCTTCTATTTCTTCTTGGTCTACTGCCTTGGCTTCTTCAATTACTTGTTCTAGGTCTTTATCCATAATAGGTATTTAAGGTCAATTAATAATTTTGAAAAAGGGGTTTTGGGGTTTTGGGGTTTTGGGGTTTTGGGG